GATGCATGTGCCAACATTTCAGTGTTAGTATCTAAAACAATGAGTCTTTCTGCAAGGAACAATATATTCTAAAATAAAATGGAGATCTTTTTTAAAGGTTAAAAAACTCATTCAATTTTATGTCTTACAGGGCTTATACTGAGTTCAATATTGTATAACTGTATTAACTCAACTGTGAATGTAGAAACTTGCACCCACTCGTGAAAGATATGTACTCTTGCTCTGGAGTATGTTACTGAATATGTTAAATCTGTAGTGAAATGCTTCTTCTAATCATGTAGTTATTAAAAATTTTAAACATAATGATTAAAATGATAATAATAATAATGATTAGAAGATGTAACAACATTACCATTGAAATCTACCTGATGACTTTATATCCATGCTCAGATGCCAAGAAACTCAGAAAGTAACCAACAGTCACTAGTAATAATCAGATAGAGATTAGAAACACATGTGCAAACATCTTAATGTCAATTCCATTGAAAATGAATTTTTCTGTATGAAACTGTGTATTGTCATAATGAAATGGAGATCTTTTTTCAAGGTTAAAACCTCATTTAATCTTATGTCTTATAGGGTTTGTACTGAGTACAATATTGTATAACTGTAACAATTCAACTGTAAACCTAGAAATTTGTGGCCAATTTTGAAAGAGATGCATCTTAGCTCGGGAAATTGTGTTATTAAATATGTCAGTGCTGTTGTAATGAAATGCTTCTTCTAAGTATGTGGTTATTAAATAAATAATTAACTGAAAAAAAGAATTATTTATTTTAAATCACATGTATACACGTGTATGTCTATGTGTATGTATATCACATGTGTGCAGGTGCCCACAGAAGCCAGAAGAGGGTTTCAGATCCCTGAAGGTGAAGTTTCAGGTGGTGGGGAACTGCCTAACCAGGTGCTGGAATCTGAATGTGGCTCCTCGGCAAGAACGGGAGGCACACTTAACTGCTGAGCCATCTCTCCAACCCCTACTTTGTCCTTCAAGAAAGCAGGAAAAGTATTCTTTTGTTTATATGTTGTTTTTAAAAAAAATATATGATTGTACCCTTATAAGGCATGGGCAACCAATATTTTTAAATGTGACCAATAAAAAGCAAATTCCCTCAAGTAATCAAACATGTGGCTCCTGATTCAAATAAACCTATTAAAAGATACTTTGAAGACAATTAATAAAATGTATGTATGGTCTGGTATTGTATCAATTTCTTTGTTAGGCGTGATAATGGTAGGTGTATTTATAAGAAAGACATCTATTTTAGACTTACATACACGCTGAAACACACAGGGATGAAATGACATAATACTGGAATTTGCTCTTAAACACTTTAGCAAGATGAAAATACGCATAGCAATCAAGACAACTGGTATATTAAGTAGATATGGATTTACCAAAACAAACTCCCAAAGTCATACATTACTAAGTACTCCAAGATATAAAAGAATAACTTGGTATTGGTCACACTTGCCAGCAACAATATAATCAAAATTCAATTTTACTTCTATTCAAAAACACAGTGAGTGCCAGGTGTGGTGGCACACGGCTTTAGTCCCAGCACTTGGAAGACAGGGCCAGCCTGGTCTACAAAATGAGTTTCAGGATAGCTGGGACTACAGGGAGACCCTGTCTCAAAACGCATAATGAAACATGACTATACTTCCTAAGTGTTTTTGGTTTGTAGGATGAGGTCTTGCTCTGTCACTCAGGCTGGTCTTGAACTCCTGGACTCAAGCATGCTCCTGTCTCAGTCTCCTCAGTGTAGTGAGAACCAAGGGTACACTGTCATGCCCAACGTGTGCTTACTAAATTGTGAATCATGTTCTGAATCTTCTGAAAGGTTGAGGTGTCTTCTTTATCATCCTACTATAAGATGTAAAATTTTCACTATGTTAGGAAGCACAAAAATTAATACAAGAAGACAAATGAATCACAACAAAAATAAAACACATGCTGGGTGTGGTGGTGCATGCCTTTAATCCCAGCCATTGGGAGGCAGAGGCAGGTAAATCTCTGTGAGTTCAAGCGGCCATGGGGAGACCCTGTCTCAAACAAAACAAAAACATAAACCCTAAATAAATAAATAAATAAAACGCATGCACTGCTGCACTGATGGAGGCACAAATAAAATAATAAAAACTCCAAGAGGGCATAGAGGAAAGAAAATGTGTATGGCTCTATGTTTGTGCTACTTTCAAATCCAGGTCTTTTTAATTTAAATACTCTAGCATGCTAATTTTGTTTAAAGAGAAGCTCTGCTCTGCAATGCATTTTTCTTGAGCTAAGGTTCAAGAAAATAATAAAGCATGTTGTTGTAATGAAGCTGCCTAACAGTGTGGGAACTCCACAAGGCAAACCTCAAAGAAAGACATTGTTAGGGATGAATTAAATCAATATATCTGAGAGATGGCAGCGCTGTTCAGAGAGGTGGATTAGCCGCCTGTCCACAGTTTTATTTTCTTTTGTGTTGTTTCAGTTTCTAAGGACCCTTGATTCTCTCTCTCTCTCTCTCTCTCTCTCTCTCTCTCTCTCTCTCTCAATGTTTCCCAAGAGATACCATGAGGATGCTGTGTCACCGTGTGACATTTCCAAGCCCTGCTAGATGTTTAGACTGGGTGATATGAGAAATAGGTTTTCAATAGCCGCAGAACAGCCTTGTTTCCCCAGAGCCTTGAGAGCAGTGCTTAAGCAATCTCTCTAAATTTATGTTACTATTTTGGTCACAGGCAGTTTTTCAATGGCTACAATATGCAATTAAAGTCAAACTTCCATCTAGACCAACTTGAAAACAATCTTATCAATAGTGTCTTGTCATGACAGTGATTTCCCACAGTCTCCTTGATAGTAAAAACTATAATATCTAAAGTAGTCTTCCTGTAATGTGTAAACTATATGATTACTGTTTAATATGCAAAGAAATTCTTTAAAAGGGCATAGGTAATAAATATATAAAGGTGAAGAATATACCATTTATCTAAAAAGATAAATGTGGCTTATGTAATCTTTCTCCATTGCTTTTCCACTGATACCTTCCAAATACTTTTACAATAGATGGCTTACTTTTAAAAATGAAAGCTATCAGCCTAGCACTTGGGAGGCAGAGGCAGGCAGATCTTTGTGAGTTCAAGACTAGCCTGGTCTACACAGTGAGTTCCAGGCCAGCCGGAGTTACAGGCTTTTTTCTCAAAAAGTCAAAAATTAAAATGTCAAAAAAAAAAAAAAAGAAAGAAAGAAAGAAAGAAAGAAAGAAAGCTAGCTAGCTATCAGGGAAGGAGAGATGGCTCAGGAGTTAAGAGCACTGGCTGCTCTTGCAGATGACCTAGGTTTGATTCCCAACACCCACATGACGGCTAACAACCACAACCACCTGATATTACAGTTCCAGGAGATCTGATGTCCTCTTCTGTTCCCCACAGGCATTGCATGACACAGGTTCGTATAGGCAAAACACTCATACACATAAAGTAAAAATAAAGCAAAAGAATTTTTTAATGAAAAACATAACGTATATAAATTTAATAAAATGTAAATCATAGCTATAACATTAATCTGTTAATTAGGAGTTATTAACATTAGCTCTTTTTCATTTATCTTTTAAAACTATTTCTGTATTTAGAGTATTTTTAAACTCTAAAATGAACCAGGCAGAAGAATTTCTTTCTGTGGTAAGAGATGAGGCACTAAGATCTGACAACAACTCAATCTAGCTATGTGACAGTTTCTAGATCTCCCTCATGATGTTCTTTATGGTAGCTTGTGGCCTTGAAGGTGCCAGTTATTGCATACAATTAAGTTAGTTCTAAAGGAAACTTAAAATATAATGCTTCCGTTCCTGCCAATAATCACTGTTGAAATAAAAGTTGCCTGGCAATAATTTTCTTGACTTTTTAAATCATCACTGCTGACTGGGGGAGAATTCCTCACAAGGACCACCAATTTAATTTCTTTCAAAGCAAGGTAAACCCCTTATTTGCTGAGCAAAGAAGTTACACTTTGCCTAAAATGACTTACATAGTGAAAGCCATCTGACACCATGCTGCACCAGCTCAGATACTACAGCTGAGCTTCAGTCCCATCCCCAGGCTTTTTTTCTTTTTTTTTTTTTTCTGATGACATTTGCTCTTACAACACCAGTGGGAGTCTAGACTATGGGCAGAATAGTAAAATACCCAGTTTTAACTGTACAGTAGATATTTTAGTAGAAAACCCCTTCACTTTAACTCAGCATTTGGCTTGTAAAATGGAAGCACTCCAAATTCCATGCATGGGTAAGTTCTCTTACTTCTCCAGACCCTAGTGGCTGTTTGAGTTTAAGGTTCTTCCTCTATCAACAGAGCTGGAGAATAGATAACAGTTTAAAATAATGGATTTGGGCTTTTAGAATATTCTCTTCAACAAGCTCTGAATTAAGAGCAGAAAAATTAGCATCTAAATCAACCTCTAAGTTAGCATGCACTTTAAAAAGATATTTTACCAATTTATGACTCCAGAAAAAGGCCTTCCGCCTGCTGCTGGCTCAGCCTGGAGCTGCTAGGGGCTTTGGGGTGCAAGTGTCGCTGAGCAGGAAGAAGGTCATGCACACCGGCCAGGTTTATGATGATAAAGACTACAGGAGGATTTGGTTTGCAGGTTGCCAGAAAGAGGTGAGTGAGAGCTTTGCCACTGATTTGATAGCAGAGCAGCCCTTGAGTGAGCTGGACCATCAGATCATAGCCTGTGATGGTGGGGGCGGTGCCCTGGGTCATCCCAAGGTGTACATAAACTTGAACAAAGAAACAAAAATGGGGATGTGCGGCTACTGCTGCCTGCAGTTCAAGCAGCACCATCACTAGTATGGACCATGGGCTGGCCCTTCAACACATGTGAGCATCTCCACACTAGCAAACCGTGTGAAAGGCATCCCTCATTACAAATAAAGGACACTATCACTGTGAGAAAAAAAAAAAAAGACTCCAGAAAAAGACATTTTTACTGGAGCTAGTTCAGTTCTTACCTGCCCCAAATTGCTTCTTAAATTCACTAAGAAGAAAGAGTCTCCAATAAAACAGTCGTTTTCTCGTGGATGGAGAGGCTTATTAGCAAAGGGGTCAGGATGACAGCACCACTCTCCAACCAGAGCTCCCCAGTTCTCGGTCGGCAGTGGGAGCACCCTGAGGAGCTTCCTAGTGCAAAGAGAAAAACAGTATTTTTCACTGCACAAAATAGAATGTTTTCTCAATTAAATCAGCATGAAAGATGAAAGAAGCTCATTAGCCACATGCTTACAATGTCAATTTTCCACTAATTATGAAAGTAATATATGTTCAGTATCAGTATAGACAATTAAAAAAATACAGAGAGGTATAAAGAAAACAGAAGTCTTCCTAGGCTCACTGCTCATAGATAAGTCACTTTATGATCGAGTTGTCATTACCATCCTATCCATGGACAGGACACACATGCACTGGAGGACTGTGCCCAGGGAACACACACACTCAATCTTGTTTTTATTATATCATGAATCCCAATGACTCTGGATATTCTATTCCATGAGGATGTCAAATGTTAAAACTTTCATTCCCTCACTGTCAGATACATAGTTTTTGAGTTCTTTTTATAAATAACCCTATGATGAATGATGAATATTCCTATTAGAAGATCTATATATAAGTCTGATTACTTGTTGGGGGAAAAAAATCTTGTAAATGAAAGACATAAGCACATTCACACATTTTTACGGCCAACATTCACTTGGTGAACTTCGTTACAGACTGTAATAATCTTCTTCATTAAATGCTATCTTTTCTCTATCTTCACCCAAGTAATAAGAATATTTTTAGGAGAGGGTGGATTCTGACCTCCATTGGTGTAGCAGCCCTGATCTCAGCAGACCAGAGAATGCCAGCCCTTTGGCAAAGGGGCTGAGAACACAGGGGACCGCCTGAGGCCATCAGATAATGAGCTTCCCCTAAGGGTGCAATACCCATCCCCCAACCTGGGATTTCATGTGGCCCCTCCCAAGGCCCCAGGGCAGACCTGGCTTTGGTAGGCTAAGGCTGAGATCCTATCAGACAGCCTGAGAGGGTGGGCTCCGGCCTCCATCAGCATAGCCACTGTGATCTCAGCAGACCTCCAGAGAGTGCTGAGTTCTGGCCCCCCTCTGGCCTCCCTCTGGCATATCCTCACAGGACTGCCAGAGAGAGCCTGGATCCAGCCTCCACATGGTGAAGGAAGCCGGAGTGTACCTGACTGGAACCTGAATTGGGCTTCTGTGGGTGCCCCTGAATAGCTGATCTGGAGCCATCGGTTCCCTCCAAGATAAACCTGAGAGAACCTGAACCCTGTACCAACCCACCTTTATATAACAAATAAGGAAAGGACCTAGGCACCCGGATAATACAAACAGAAGCATACTTCAACTTAATTCTCATATTAGAGTCATAAACAACAAAAGAAATTCACATGCCAAAATCACAACAAAAGAATAATAAAATGGAAAGCCAAAACACTATGTCCCCACCAAACTCCACCAGTCCTGTAGAAGAGTTCTACAAGGAGAATCCCCTAGAAATTACCCAGGACACTGAATTTAAAAGAACAATCATAAACATGATCAAGGAATTCAATGAATTCAATTTAAAGAACACATGAACAAATCAAAAAACTAAAAGAAGATAGGTATAAATTTCTGAATGAATTCACAAAAGAGACAGAAACATTGAAGAAAACTCAGGCAGAAATGAAGAAGGAAGTACAAAACTCAGTAAGTCAACTTGAAATAACAGGGGAAAGCCTCACCGCTAGAATGAATGAAATGGAAAACAGAATATCAACACTGGAGGATAAAGTTGAAGAACTGGACCACTCAAAAAAAGATTATGGCAAAAAAAACCCCACAGGAATGCAATATGCAAAAGATGTGGGACACCATGAAAAGACCAAATCTACATATTATACGTGTGATGGCTAATCCTGTATGTCAACTTGACTGGATCTGGGATTAACTGAAATGAGAGAGATCTTCTTGATTGGATCATCTGCAGCTGGAAGATACACCCAAAATGTGGATGTTACCTTCTGATGGCAGCCCGTATAAAAGGCCAAGGCAGAGGAGAACGCTTGGTTTCTTGCTGCTTGCCTTCTCTCTTGTTGGTGAGTTCGTCTTGCTGCTGTAGACTGAAGACTAGCTGATCTTTCGGAATTCGTCAGTCCTTCAGCACCAGATTGGGACTACTGAGACATCCAGCCTTGTAGACTGAGTGACTATGGATTCTCAGCCTCTCCGGTGTGATGCAGCCACTGTTGGACTACTCGGACTCTATCCTGTGAGCTAAGCTGATAAATCTCTATACATATATATTCATCCTACTGGTTCTGTTTCTTTGGAGAACCCTGACCAATACAATAGGAATAGAGGAAAGAGAATTTCAGGTTAATGGTATTGACCAAATCTTAAACAAAATTGTAGAAGGAAATTTCCTAAAATTAAGGAAAGACATCCCCATACAAATACAAGAAGCACATAGAACACCAAACAGACAGGATCAGAAAAGAAACTCCCCACAACCGACATATCATAGTAAAAACACTAAACGTACAGAACAAAGAGAGAATACTGAAAGCAACAAAAGGAAAACAAGTCACATATAAAGGAAAACCCATGGATTACAGCTGACTTATCAATGCAAACTATGAAAGCCAGAAGAGCCTGGACCAAGGTATTTCCAGCTCTACATGACAACCGATGCCAGCCCAGAATACTATACCCAGCAAAAATGTCTATTATAGTTGATGGGGTGGGAAATCTTCCATGACATGAATAGCCTGAAAGAATACATGTCCATAAAACCAGCCCTTCAAAGAATACTTGAAGCAATACAAAGAGTGGAGAGAGAAACAACTATACCCCAGGGGCAACAAAAGAAAATAAATAAAGGTATAATCTAGGAAACACAAAATTAGACAGAGAACACAAACAGCAATCAAAATGACAGCAACCAATACACACCTTTCAATAACAGACTTAAATATCAATGGACTGAAGTCCCCAGTCAAAAGACACAGACTAAGTGAATGGCAGCTAACAACTGTCCATAACTCCAGTTCCAGGAGACCCAACAGCCTCTTCTGTCCTCTGCAGGCATTGTACAACACAGGTGCACTTACCTACATGCAGGCATAACACTCAAACACATAAAATAAAAATAATAAATAAAGTGTTTTTTTAAAAAGTAGTAAAAAGAACAAAATCCATCTCTTTGCTGTTTGCAAGAAACTCATCTCACCTTCAAGGGCAGGCATTACTGTAAGGTAAAAGGATGGAAAAGAATAGTCCAAGCAAATGGCACTTAGGAACAAGCAGGGGTTGCAATTCTAATATTGGACAAAATAGACTTCAAAGTAAAACTAATCAGAAGAGAGAAGGAGGGTCACTTCATTCTGATCAAAGGAACAATTAAACAAGAAGATATTACAATCCTTGACATATATGCACCAAACTCTGGTGCACCCAAGTTCATAAAAACACTACAGGACTTTAAGACACAGATTAACCCCAACTCAGTAATAGTAGGGGACTTTACTACACCACTGTCTCCATGAGACAGGTCAACTGGACAAAGAATAAATGGAGGTATGTCTGAATTAAATGATACCATACATCAAATGGACCTAACAGACATCTTCTGAATATTCTACTCAGCACCCCATGAAACTTTTCAAAAACTGACCACATAATGGGCCATAAAACAAACCTCAACAAACACAAAAAAATGAAAATAATTCCAAGCATTCTATCAGACCACAATGCAATAAAGCTCAAAATCAACATGGGAAAAAGCTGTAGTCATTACATGAACTCATGGTGATTAAACAACACACTCCTAAACAATGAGTGAGACAAAGGACAAATTAAGAAAGAAATAAAAAATTCTTGGAATTCAAAGAAAAGGGCAATACAACACAACAAAACCTCTGGGGCACTTTTAAAAGCAGTCCTAAGAGGGAAGTTTATAGTGCTAAGTGTCTGCATTAAAAAATTAGAAAGAGCCCAAATAAATGATCTAACACTACAACTTAAAATGCTGGAAGAGCAAGAACAAAGGAAACCCAAACCCAGCAGAAGAGAAGAAATAACAAAAATCAAAGCAGAAATTAATGAAATAGAAACAAAACAAGACAAAGTACCAATGAATCTAAGAGCTGGTTCTTTGAAAAGCTAAACAAGATAGACAGA